ATAAGCTTATCCAGGCAAAAATCGGACCATAAATACGATTTCTTCGAACAGAACGGTCCCTGGTCCACTTCTCGGACAAAATGGATCATGTATGCTAATATATGCTAAAAAGCTACCTACGTACCGAATTTTAAGCAAATCGGACCATAAATGCGATTTTTTGGAATAGATCGGTCCCTGGTCCAGTTTTTGGAAAAAATTGATCACGTATGCTAATACATGCTAAAAAGCTATTGCGCACCGAATTTTAAGCAAATCGGACCGTAAATTCGATTTTTTCGAATAGATCGGTCCCTGGACCACTTCCCGGAAAAAATGGGTCATATATGCTAATATATGCTAAAAAGCTACCTACGTACCGAATTTTAAGCAAATCGGACCGTAAATTCGATTTTTTCGAATAGATCGGTCCCTGGACCACTTCCCGGAAAAAATGGGTCATATATGCTAATATATGCTAAAAAGCTACTTACGTACTAAATTCTAAGCAAGTCGGACTATAATGAGATTTTTTCGAATAGACCGGTCCCTGGTCCACCTACCCGAAAAAAAGTAAAATTATTTTAGCCTAAAACATGGTGGTTACCGAAAGCTATTTGTATACAAAATTTCATGAAAATCGGTCCAGCCGTTCGCGAGATTACCTGTTACAAAAAAAAGGGACTTCTCTTTATATAATTAGTATAGATATAGATAAACAGGACAATTTGTTGCTCATACGCCATGTATGCCCGCGCTTAGTCAAAGTTAGGCACTCCCCACATTAAGCAACTAACGACAGTAGTGAAATCGTTTCGGCACACTAATTTATAAGTTTTTATGCCGAACATGTGTATTTCAATGAAGCTCTGTACATTGCTATACATAATCATGTTCTCGCCTGATCATAAATGTTTCGTGAATTGAAGCGCCCAACATTGCCATTTTGAAATCGGCATTTGTTTACACTTTTGTTTAGCAAATTAAAATTATTTGTCATTTCAATAGAAAATGTTTGAAAATTAATAATATCATGCTAATATCACTGCATCAAAAACTTTAGTTTTGTTTTTGTTCTCCAGACGCCACTATCCAATCCCTATGTTGGATTGCTCGGTAATTCCGAAAATCGAATTAATTTTTATTCCTATAGATTCGTTTTCGAGATATTTGAAATTTACCATTATTCAGCTTAAAAACTCCACGTATATCTTACGAACCAATTGAACAATCGTAATACGAAATACGGCAAATGAAAGCCAATGGAATTCTTCATAAATACATCACTTTTCGATAGGCCTGATAGTTTCTGAGAAATTAATGAATGGCTCCAGTTTTCAAACTTTAACGGGGGAAATATAAAAAATAACGACTGTTTTGCTTTTTTATTTTTTGTTAATTAATTTTATTGCGATTGTTCAATTGGTTCGCAAGATATACGTCATTAAGTGGAACCACTATTTTTTTAAGCTGAGAAGGAACGACCCTAAAATTTGTTTCATGTAGCATCAGTTTCTTAAAGGCTCAGCTATTCTAGACTTAATTTACGTAACGTAACCTAATATATTGTTCAGGAGTTTTTTGATCTCGCTTAGAGGCGGCAAAGTGACCTTTATCTGAAAAGGAAAATACAAAAACAATATATTTTCGCTTCTGGCAGAGATGACGTGTTGAGTAATCATTGACGATTTCTTATGCAAGTTAAGTCTAGAGTAACTAGACTATAACTGGTGACGGTGATTCACGGCGCGAAAAGGTGAAGAAGCCGAGTAGTCATGCATTCGTTTCGGCATAACGAAACGATTACTATACTATGATTAAGTGTGCAATATGCTATGTGCGTTAATAAGAAATTTTTTTAATGCTAAGTTCAGACAGGCAGTTAATTAAGTAATTAGCAAAGCTTTCTCCCTTTACACGCAAATTGAGCTCGATTAACCACACAAAATTTCCATTTTCGATTGTTCGCTTAATGTTTAAGCGAGTGCTAATTGATTGCATCTAATCATACAACTTTTGTGGGTCAATTGAAAATACGTAGTTTCTAATAATAGTTTATAGCCGCGGTCATCGCCATTCACGCCGGGTGGCTTAGTATTTTTCTTGTTCCTTGTAGCCAACTACTTCTTTCTCATTGTTTAATTAGAATTGAGTCTCGGTTGTGTGCTGCGACTGCAGCTTCTCTCCTTGCGGTGCTTGGGTCACGTTCCAAGAAAAAGGCGGCAAATTATACCCGAATTAAAAAAGGAGTTCTAATATAAGAAATAACTATTTTAAAGGACAGCTATGAAATTATAATTTCATCGATGCCTCGCATAAATGTGCAAGAAAATCATTCTAAGTACAATGCAAATAAGTGCATTTCAAAGGAGTTCTACATACTCGCATCAAGGCCTGCAAAATGGTAGTGCGCACTGCTAACCAGTACACCATCGCGGCCGTCTTGTACTTGCTTAGTAATATAAATATTTACATAAGGATATTTAGGTACATAGTTAAAATTGTGCATCGAAAATTGCAACAGATTTTTGCAGTTAAAAACTTCAGTTTTCAAATTATATATGCACATATGTCGGTAATGGGTTGACGTAGCCAATTAGTGTGGACATTATGTGATTATTTGCCCATATGCATTTGTACTTGTTTAAATTACCAAGCAGGAAATTCCATTTTATTTTCGTTATACACAAATATTATATGGGAGGGAGCACACCAAGCTTCAGTTTTCACAACATTTTATTCAGAATATTTACTTTCACCTTTTGCTTTTATGAATGTTTAAGGAGGTTTTTACATTTTTGTATGTACTCAAATGACAAAACAGAAGCAAAAAAAGATAATAATAAAATAAAATTTGCCAGCGAACGGCACTTGACAACTTCGATATATAGAATTTGGATTGCTTAATCCCAATATAGGGTTAATTTTTTTCCTTATTGACTCTTAAACAAGTTTGACATATCTGAACAATTACAAAGCCTCCATATTAGGTTCGCCATTTTGAGTTTGCATTGAAAACCCGGTATAAAGAAAATTTTTAAAGGTAACAAAGTGCATTTTAAGGTGCTATTATTAAAAAAATTGTATTCTGCCATTTTCATACTTTTTGATTAGAATATCTCATAAGACTTGCTTGCTGGAGTATTTTATTTCGTAGGAAATAGTCAAGTCATTGTATCTGGTATTTTCCAAAATTTTGTTGGCCTATGTAATCATTGGAAAACAGGGACGTGAACTTGTTTTTGACCCCACCCGGTTTTGAACCGGACTAAACACTTTTAGCTAATTAACTCATCTATATGAACTACTGAAATCGAACCACTTTTTATGAAGATTTAATTAATATTCTTTTCGACCAAATTTTAATTGACAAATTTTCCACACTTTTTTCTTTTATTAAATATGGTTTTACCATCTGAGAATTTTTGTCACTAAATAAAGCGTATGACAAAAATTATATATGTTTTTATAGTTTTTTTCGATTGTTCCTGAATAAAAAGAACAGAATTATATATGGTTTTTCTCAGTTCCTGATCCGTTGAACCAAACCGAAGCCTCTGTCAAAGCACAAAAAAAAAAACGTTTTGACGAACCATTCTAAAGGTGCAAAACCAGTTAGAGCCCCAGAACCGAACCTGCCAAGTTTTTCATCCGGTTCCCCGCCCTCCTGAAAAGTCACCAAAATCGCATTAGGTGAGGGATTTTATTGCTGGGTTTGATCTCCATGTGTATTTTAGTGCTTCGGGCAACCTGCACGTACATAAATGTTATGGCTGTTGCTTCCTGTGGTTACTTGCTTCATTAACAGCACTTGTCACCGCTGTGGGAAACACAGCTGCACACTCATTAGAGACTGGTGGATTTGCGATATATCCGAGCAAAGGTTAGTTTGTTTAGACTGAAACTTGCATTTATACATACGTATGTATACACAATATATGTATGCGAATTAATGTATACCCATGGACACCGTGTGTGCTTTCAAAGAGCCTAGTATTTCAACATAAGTATGCAATGAAAAACTATTGCCGTCGGGCACTATTAGCAAGAGTAAACACCTGCACATATGATAAACTGTAACAATTTGTAATCGCTATGCTTTCCGGCGCTGGTTTCCGCAGTAAAAAGTAATTAAAAATACAAAAGCAAAAATTAAAAATTAGTATAAAATTGTAATTTCAAAAATTACTATGCACCCTGAAACGGCTGTTGGCCTTGGTAAAGCGGTATGTAAATACAAAATTGAAACAATAATTTTCCTTTGGCCGTAGAACACAATTGCTAAAGAAATAATAATAATAATAATAGATTGGCGCTTACACATATGTTAGTGTTTGGCCGAGCTTCTCCTCCGATTTGAGGTGTGCGCCTTGATGTTGTCACACAAAGGGGAGGGATATATAGTTTTACGCTGACTACGAATGGTGATTGTATATTTATGAGGAGCATGGCAGAAACACACTCGGAAGTTTGCCATTGCCTGCCGAGGGGCGACCGCTGTTAAGAAAAACATTTTTTCTAAATTTTTTTTGCTTTGAAAAGGGCTTGAGCCCAGGCGCTGCGGAGTGAAAGCGCGCACTGCTTATTGCTTACACCACCGCGGCCTCCATTGCTAACGAAATAATTACAATATTTATGCAAAAGTCTTTGAAATGCACTAGAAGACAAATAAAAAGAAGCTCGGAATGTTATTTGATTCGGATAAAGCTTTGTACATGGAATTAATTTGGCATAGTTGAATTCGGAGAATTGAATGTAGAATTGTGTGAGTCCCGAATATTCCGCACAGAAATGTTGACGTATAGCCTTTCCCAGAGGGCAGGGCAGTAACTTATCCATTTAATATTTCAAAAACAAAGCTGCACGAGACAAATGAAAATCAGAAATTAGCGATTTTAAAGACAATAACTGAGTGGGAAGGCCTAGGATAACTAAAAATCAAAGATTGGAACGAAAATTTAATAGATCTTTTTTTTTTTGGATTCCTTCTGTATCATGATATGGCCTCCAATTTTAAACGGCATATTGAATCCTGGATCTTACGAAAGCTAACTGAAATACTAGAGTTTTCGATTATTCGCCCTTTTTCAAAAATCGGCTTTCGAGTTATTTGAAAAATGGCCATTTGGAAAAAAACCGGTTTCATAATTTTTAATTAAAAAAACCCCCCGGTTAAACCAGTTTTTTTTAAATATATTTTCTCAATAGTAACAGTTGCTGTTAATCAGAAATCACGGTAAAAATTTCGAATTTGCCTGCTAAAAATAGACATAGCTTTAATTATGAAATCAATTAGGCATTATAAGTTCAAAGTATTTTGGATTACAAGAAAACAGGGAGAAATAAGTGAAAAATTCACCTAACTTAATAAGATTAAACCGGCACATACAGAACCGACTGCCCTGGCAGTGAAATTACGCCATCCGCTGAACCAGACTAACTATAATAAGATTGCCTGTTATAGAGAGAATATTCATCGCGAATCAATCGACACCTTCGGCAACTCTCACCCCTTAAATTTCATCATCGCAGACTAACGCCCCTGATCGCAAACGAAGACCTCAAGTTGGTTCGTTTAGCTCGAAATACTTTGGCACAACTGCGTTCGGGATACTGTAGCAAGTTAAACTGATACACTTGCCACCTCTTTAAATGCTCACTAGGAATGTTAAACCCGGAATCCCGACCTTTTTTAAGTCCCGGAAATCCCGGGACTATTTCCCCAGAATTTGTAATTTGCACCGATGGAAATAATAGAAACTCCTTTTCTCTAGCAGTATTGGCTATATTTCGTTTTTTATTTAATAATTCATATTTTGTTTATAAATATCTTGCTCATTATTCATATAACATCGTGCGATAGTAAGGTTTGTACATAAAAATCAATATATTCGCGAAACCATGGGCCAAATATAGTAAAATTGCGTTTTTAGTTTTTCTCTCTGACGACGATAGCCCAAAAATGAATTTCGTCCTTATATCTATATCAGCTTAAAAAATTACCTATGCGTCCTTGTGAGTCAAAAAATTTTAATTTTTCAAATTCTAAAGAAATTTCCTCTTGCATTTGTTACCCATATTCTACATTACATTGAATTATTTAAATAATTTTTGGAATCAATGATATCTTTGAGATTACAAAGTCCTTTAAAATAAATCCTGATATCAGAGAGAAAAAATAAACACGACATTTTAAATAAAAAAGTAAGTTTCAATCCCTTTCATTTATTATTTTTTTATAGTAGGAGACCTTCTCAAACAGTATAGAAGCAATATATTCGATTTAAGTGGTTGAAAAGTGAGGAATATCTTAATGCCGGGATTACGATAACGACATCCCGAAAATCCCGGAATCGAAAAAAGCCGAAAAATTAACATCCCTAATGCTCACCCACATTAGCGCATCTAACATCCCTCTTCCTACGGCCCAAAGCAGTCGAAATGAACCTTTTCCTAAGTCTGCCGTTGGATAAGAATGAACACAAAATGTAATCGGTGTGCAAATTTAATAAGCTGCTACCACATAAAAAATCAATACTAATTGGTTTTTCCTTACTAATATTATAAATCCGAAAGTTAGTTTGTCTATTTACTAAGCTTTCACGCTTTAACTACTTAACCAATCACGATGAAATTTTGTATACTGCTCTAATTTAGCCCAACTTAAAATATAGGATAGATTTAATCTCGATTGTACGAGTGGGCGTGGCACCTCCCATACAAACGGAATTTTTCATAGTACAAATTGCAGGAAATATTTGTGATAGAATACTGGATAACGGTATGGAGATATATAGAATCGACTCCACACTCATGGGGGAGGGCTGCCACCTGTTTAAAAAGTATATTTCAACTTGAACTAAGGGAATTATTTATTTGAAAATTATATTAATAATAAGAATAGATTGGCGCTTACACATATGTTAGTGTTTGGCCGAGCTTCTCCTCTGACTTCTGGCGTGCGCCTTGATGTTGTCACGCAAAGCGGAGGGACCTACAGTTTTACGCCGACTCCGAACGGCGATTGGATTTTTATGAGAAGCTATTTTTCATGGCAGAAATACACTCGGAGGTTTGCCATTGCCTGCCGAG